CATGACGAATTTACATTCTCTAGTTTAATGAAAATATATAATTTTTGATATAGTATAATTTTAAAAAAATATGTATTAGTTATGTGTACTTATGGAAATAGATTGTATGACGACGTCAAAATTTCTCTTTTTCTTTTTTTTCTTGCTGTTTTAAAAAAAATGGCATCATCTTTTCATTTACACTTGGCTATTCTTCATCTACTGTATATGTTTGTCTAAACGAAAACATGAAACGACAATTTTGATATGTAAAAAAAAAAAAAAGAAAGAAAAGGGAATGAGAAAGCGAAAAAAAAGTGAGAAGTAAAAGTTACAGTAACAAATCGATTTCTTTTTTCTTACACTATTCTTCTCGGTTTTTTCTTCTCTCGTTTTCTATAGGTGCTCGAAGGTGTAAAAAAGAAAGCGAACAAAACATTTTCGTACTTGCATTTTAAATCATTATCAGTTTTTTGAAATTCTCTTAGAGCAAACCTATATATATATATATATTTTTTAATCTGTCTCTATTTGCTTTTTATGACACAGATTATATATGACAAGCAAGTCATAGATGTTAATATATTTATATATGTGACAAAAAAATAGTAAAGAAAACTTTCCATGATTGAAGTTTACTTTTGAACGTGCAGCATCAAGCAAACAAGACTTTTTTTGACATTACTCTGATTTCTTATTCTTCTACTTCGATACTTCGTCTCAATTTTTTTTTTCAACAGACGATGCCAGGAGCAAACGTCACTTAAACACTATGAGATGATGATGGAGATGAAGAATAAGAAAGAATTGTGTGAATTTGCGCCCGTTGTTGCTATTACACTGTTATTCTTTTTAGAAAAAGAAATTTGAATAAAACATACACATACACATAAAAAAAAAAGGGCAAACGACAATAGCGACGACTGCATATAATATAAGTGTGAAAACATTGATTAAATATTGGAAAGAGAAAGAAAGCGAACCAAAAAAAAACTAACACCAACAATGGCTTATTCTTATTTTGTTTCTTCATTAGTAAAAGAAAACTTCAATTCAATGTCATCATTTGCTGCAAGCCAAGACAGTTGAAATAACACAAGAAATAATCATTTATAAAAAAAAAAAAGAGAAGGATAAATTGAAAAAGAACATTGTACTTGTTAAATTCGTTTTTTTTTCTTTTACAAGGGCAAAACGATTTAGTTCAATGAGTTAATAAATAATCGTTCTCATTAATACAATTGATAAATTTTCTTTTCAACAGAATTATTAAATCTAAGATTTTTAGATTTAATAAACTCTAAAAAAAAATGTAAAACTAAATCTACATACTACATCATTCGTAGATAAGTTTCGTCGTTTAATTATTTTATCTGTTTCATGAATTATCAAGATCTCGCTATAGACTTGAGATGACCTTTAATTAAAAAGACGATTACAAATGCCTATGCAAACATATATCATATGGTCTATTTTATATGCATAATTGTCTAGATTTACAAAAAATGAGATATTATTATTTTGATATGAATCTTAGTCTGTATGAATTAGTATAATTCTATTTTAACGGAAGTAAATTTTGTGAGATTTTTTTTTTTGTAATGAAACATGACAAGAAATCCATTAGTAAATTTTTATGTAAAAATTTAATGAAATAATATATAATTAGTAATATTTTTTTTTTTGTAAATAATTTTAGTATATTTTAATAATTGACTCTTTTTTTGGAAACTGATTTCATGTTACATAAGACTTATTTGCTTCTGTTTTTCTTTTAATTATTATTCGATCATATTTATGTAAGTTATTTTCATACTTTTATTTATCGTAATAACAGATGGATATGAGTAAAATGTAAAAGAAACCTATTGGATTGTAATTTGAAGTTAAGTTTACTATAGAATGTTTCATAAACATTACATTTGATTTCTTTATTTGAAGAAGCCAAATTAAATTGTCAATAATTCAACAACAATCTAAAATTGTTATATCATATCACACAAGAAAAATAAGCGTGAAATTAAACTTTAACAAAAAAAAAAATAAATGTATTTTTATTCACAAAATGTTTCGAAATATGATATTTTCATTAGAATACTTCTAAATGACATACAATTCTTCAATTATATATTGAACAAATTCATAAGGTTTGATTCAAATTTTGCAAAATCAAATTCTTTTCCACTAACGTATTCATTAGCATCGATTACGAACTAATGAAATGTAAAACAAGAATAAATATTTGTCATCAAAATACTCATTATCAATCCAATAATTTTAATATTGCACTAGAAGTATGAGATTAGCATTAGTATTAGAATTATGTTAATGCTTTAGGCATTAATATGAAAATTAACCTTAATGTTTTGGTATTATTTGCATTAAAATAAATTTATTCTAAGTAGTTGACATTAAATTAACATTATTTTTAATTCGAATACATATGTTACTTGCGACTATACATTTGAGAGTCTATATTCGAAAGTTCTTCATAACAGGAAAACAAACTGTTCAATTTTGAGAATGTCTGAACTTAGATTGTTCGAGATTTAGTTGTCGGTAATCAATATATTCGAATTAAAAATAATGTTAATTTAATGCTAACAGCTTGACATTCTTTAATTCTAATGCAAACAATACCAAAACAATAAGATTAATTTTAATACTAAAACATTAATATTCATAAATGCTAATGTTAATTCTAATGGAACATCTCTCTATTGTACTATCTTGTAACACCTAAATAGTACAAATCAATTGCTTATAGATATGTATCTATTCTCAGCAATAGTTTATATTGAATGACTATTTGATGTAGCAAAAATGTTGCTGATTAATTTTATTAATACAATAATTTATTTGTTTCGTTTATTTTAAAGTCTATTCATATAACCATTCAGTTAATTTAGAAATTCTATTTAATATATACACAGAGTGCGCAAAAAATATTTTTCTAGTAAGATCAATAAAAAAATTAAAGTGTGTCGAAAATGGGATTTACTAATACTAAATAGTGAGTGTTAGGGCAACTTGTCAATGTTAAATTCAAAAAATTCCTAAAAATTTACGTCATATCAGCAGGAAAAAATTCCTTTCGTGAGGCAGTTAAATTGGATCTCATTAAAAATGATGAAGGACAAAAAGTATTGAATTACTTGTTCTGGGAATATTAGAACAATAATTAAGAATAAAGCTGAAAAGAATGACTATCAGACATGCAACACTATCAATATGATAGAAAAATGGAAATAAACATTGAACTATTTGAAATTATTTTGTGTTCGTATTCGTTTCATCTTCCTGTTATAAAAATGGAAATGATTGTCATACGGATTATTAATTGTGTTCATTAAGTCTTAAGAAATAAATATTACCTTTTCATATTCATCATTTTCAAGTAGATCTAATTTGAATTATCGCACGAAAGAAATTTTTCTCTGTTGATATGGCATAAAATGTTAACAACTTTCTCAATTCAACACTGACAAATTGCCCTAACGCTTACTATTTAATATTGGTGAATCCTATTTTCAACGCGCTTTAATTTACTATTGATCTTATTTAAAATTACAGCATTGCCACTCTCCCCCTGGGAAAATATTTTTACGCACTTTGTACTAAGTTCACAATAAAATACATATTCAGGTATATGGCAAATATAGATTAAAGAGAGACTGCAAAACAAAACGATAGTTACAAATTGTCAATTAATAAAAATATCATTTATTTTATGATTATTCTGATAATAATATAAAATGAATATTGAATAAGAAATACTCTCATAACGATCATTCCGATCATTGGGAATGAGATCTTACAGATAGCGTACTATGATATTAAGTTCTACGACGTTTTATATCATGGACGATGCCGATTTCTTGAATCTAGATTGACAAATCTTTGAAAAATTTAGCTTTTCATCAAATAAATTATTCGTTTCGTTTACGAATGATAAAAATAGCTTGCAATCACTATCTGAATATTTATGAATATTGTTATTAAGATGGCCTTTAATGGTACATATATGACATTGAAATAATAATTAATGTTTATCATGAGACAGTAGACGTCTATTAGACGTATCCGCCTTTTTTCCTTTATTCGGATGTTTTTAATAGTCTTCGATCTATTATACAGGTAAATTACGTACGATGAAGAAAAAAAAGTGAACTACTACCATCTATGTTTTATAAGTGTGAATGGTGCATATGTGATCATGATTCATTTTTCTTTCTTTTCTATAAGAAAAAAATAAATCGAAGAAGAAGAGTAAAAAGTACGAGTAAGTGGGTGAATAAGGGGTGGTTGTCGTATTTGTAAGCTAGTTATTTTTTCCTTTTTCTCTTCACGTTGTTTTATTCCTGTTAAATACTCCTACGACATTTTTCCATTTATTTTCTTCATCATATTAAATTTTTCAAGTGTGCTTATTGATATAGAAAACAGAAAATCTTTTAGAACTTGATAAATAAAAATTTTTTGAATTAATTAAATCATCATTTACATACAAAATATTTTAATACGATGAGTCATGTATAATAATGAATGTTACTACACGTTTCTTTTCTGAACGAAGAGTGTGTTTATGTAACCAACTCTTCGTTATTTTTTCTTTTTTTTGCTTATTGTGTACTCATTATATCGATTTTTTTTTCGTTTCTTTTGTTACTATTGTTATCGATGTGTATTTGAGTCCCTAGGGAAATTTTATTTCGAATTAGTAAAATGATATTGCTTCGTTCTTTGATCTAGGCTATGCATGATTTATTAATCTGACTCATACAATGATAACACATTGATAACAAATGATATAAAACAGATAAATCTTAATTAAAATAGACCATTTTTCTATTTGGAAAAAAGTGATTTTTTTTTTCGTGTATGTGACTTGCATTTTGATACATTTTTTTATACACGGCTATTAATGCGCAATTATTCCTCCTACTTTGCTCTGTTCAATGAGGCGTACAGACGATATTAATATTGTCGAATAATTTGTTTTTTTATTAAAGATGATGACGATGGAACAAACAACATTATTAAATACAATGGATTCAATTCTTGATCATCGTAGTGATGTTAGTGATGCAAATAGTGTTGACTCGTATGTATTAAATTTTTTTATGAAATAAAATTTTGAAAAAATCTATTGATTTTGTATAATATATTTAATAGAGCATTTAGTATTGAAAATGGAGTTGTTACAACACCAGAACCAATTGAACATTCAACATCATCTGCAACATTATTTAATGAATTACAAAGAGTTAAACAAGATCTTAAAGATAAAGATACAGAAATACAACGAGCACATGAAATACGTGAAAATACAGATCGAGAAATCGAAGATCTTACTGCATCGTTATTCGAAGTAATTTTATTAAGAACAGCAAAAAAATAAAATTCTTGTTTTGTTTTGTTTTTCTCCATTAGTCTGCACATTCAATGGTGGAACAAGCTAAATATGCTCAATCTAATGCTGAACAAAAACTTAAAATTGCAAATCAAACAGTAAATTTACAAGAGAAAAATTATTTTTCTTTTTAATAATTTATTTAGATTGATGCACTTGTTGTTGAAAATACTCAATTAAAAAAAAGTGTTAGTGAATTAAAAGAAATCATTAATAATTGTCGTTCATCATTATTAACAAATCGTTCTCTACCAATAACAGCTATTTTATCATCAACTGAACAACAATCACAATCGAGTATTCGTCAAATAGTACGAGAAAAACTTCATAAACGTTCATCATCAGATTTACAACAATCATTATCATCAATTGATATATCAACTAAAATTGATACTGATATTGTAAGTTTAATATATTAAATTTAGTGTTTTTATTTTAATATTAATATTATCTTTGTCTTATCAAACAAATTACTAATACATAGGATGATTGGCCTATGGTAAGAATGCTTTAGTTAAGCGCAGACCTAAAAAAACCCATATTTATAGCATGAATATTATTTATTATTTTAACTAGATTTTTTTGGTAAAAGAAAAAAAAACTAAGATCTATGTTTTGTTTTATTTAAGGTGGATAATGTTTTATTACGAGAATTTGCACGTTGGGAAGAAAAACCATCAATAGGAAGTGATTCATCTGCATTTATGCATCGAGTTTATAGTGAAGATATTTTACCATGTTTAACATTTCCTAATGCTGATGTAAAAAAAGAAAAACATAATAATATATATTAATTAAAATTATTATTTTTTTTATTTATAAAGCTTTCATCAAGAATTCTTACAGCTATTGAACACAATGATGTGACTATGGAAACATTTCATATGAGAACAATTGAGGAAAATATGAAGTAAGATTAATTTTATAAAGGATATCTCTTTTTCTCTCTAGGGATGCATCAATTCATAGAATATGATGTCAAAGATGGCATTTTTTTTTCCTTATTAAGATTGTACTTCCTGTGAGTTTTTTTTTGACCGGATTCCACTGATTTTGAGATCCGTGTTTTTTGCATTGGATAAAATCTAAGAATAGCTTTGGAAAGAGCGTTAAGAGCCCAATGATTCTCAATATTGGAAATAGTCTAAATTTGGATTAGAAATTCAAGGAATTGAGTTATCCCTGTTTACAAAAACACATGTCTAGTATTGAGAATCATCGGACTCTTAGTAGTTCTTCATGCCAGTTGTGATCACTTTTGAGCGCTCTTTCTGAAATTATCCTTAGATTTTGTCTAATGTAAATTTTCGACTACAGCTTCGAATAGAGTAATCATGGTTGATATAAACGAATCCACAGAAACTACATTTTTAATAAAGAAAAAAAGTCATCTTTGACATCATGCTCGAGGCATTAATATGTCCTTATGCCTCCGTTTTATGACCATTGTATAGTCTGAAGTAGTATCATTTTGGCATTCAGAAATGATCTTTAAACGTTATAACATTTGAGAAATCAAAATAGCAAAAACTATATATTACAGCTCATCGGGTTGATCCTGGACCCAATAGACTCAGCAATGTGTATGATGCACTAGCCACTGAATACAAAAACCCGAAAAAATTATCTTCTATGTTTGGGGTGGCTATTCAATTTTGATTAGAAAAATTTCATTGAGAGTATCAAAGTACGGTCCGACCGGATATGAAAATTTTAGATCTGATGAGCTCTGCTGTACATCGTTTCGGGTTTTTCTCAAACCAGCTTTTTCATGAAAAACAAGTGCAGAAACGCCCCCGTTTCTCCACCCTAATACATCCGATCGAGCTGACACTTTTCCCACCTATGCTATACACTGTTTGAGATCGATAATTGTTTTTTGTTTCAAAAAATATTGTTCTGATGATTTTTTGATAGGTCTTACAGAAAAAAAACACATTTTTTTAGAGTATCTTCGATGTTTTGTCTTTTCTATTCGAAATACAAGGAATAAAAATATATCTGTGCCTGTAGAAAAAAATTTCAACTCGATCGAACATAGCATCTCAAAGTAATGAGGGAGCTATTTGTCAAGATCTACCTATCTTGAAAGTTTGAAATTTTTTTGATGAGCTATTCTCCGAAAATTTTGAAGAAGAAAGATCCTTCAGATTTTTATTATTGATCTATTTAGAGTTTGTTCATTAACGGGTGATCTTTGTCAATGTAATTATCGTGTTCGATTATGTGAACGTGGTGAATGGTATCCAATATCACGTTTATCTCGAAATCGAGTAAAACACATTTTTTTTCTTATTTAATATTTTCTAATCATTATTTTATTATAAACAGATTGCTGCTGTTTGTGATTTTTTTACTTTTATTCGTCATGTTCAATCAGGTCTTGTGAAAAGTGATAGTAAGAGAAAAAAAATAATAATAAATAATAAATAAAATTATTAACTATTTTCTAGCACGAAATCGTTATAATAAAATAATTGAACTTCGAAAACAAATGGCTTTTGCACGTCTTGGTTTATGAATATACAATTCATATTTTTTGTTTCTTTTTTGCCAAAGGTTGACCTTGTGCATTTATTCAGTTTTTTTTAAGAGTATTATTGCGTTTGCATTCCATTTATGTTATATTCTATATTTTCATAAAACGATCACGTTTTCTTTTTCTTTTGTTTGGTTGATCAGTAGAGAAGAGAAAGTCTTTTGTTTTTTAGTCTTCCAGCATTTTGTTTGTTTGTTGCGTTTTGTATATTGTGCTTTTGTTTCCTTGTCTTCTGTATGTATGTTGAAAGCCACAAAGAATAAATTAATAAAACAAAAACCAAATTACAACAGAATAAAGAATTTATTTGAATAAATTATTAATATAAAATCAAAGAAATATACAAATTAAATAAACACACTTAATAGTCACAAAGATTTTCAGTGAAAGACTAATCATCCAAAAAAAAAAGAGAAGTACATAATTATATGCAGGATATAGAATTTTGTTGAAGGAAAAAAAAAGAATTGGAAAAGAATATTATTTTTCTCATTTCAAAAAAACAAAAAAAAAAATCATTAACTGAGCAAAAAACATGCTGACTAGTACATATGTCTTCTGATTATTCTGATGACGAAAGATATTCTCTCCATTTGTCTGGTAATTGTAATGATGTTGATGATAAATATGTTTCATTAATAGATGTTTGAATTCTTTCGTCATTATCATCTATATTTAAATGATGAGCATTTAAACGTTTTCTTTCAAGTATTGCCGTAATAACTTGTTGTTGAATATTATTTAAAGCAATTTGTTTTTCATTTTGATCCGAATGTATTGATGTTAATCGTCTTAATTCTGGTCGTACAATTGATGTTGTTGTTGTTATTGTTGATGATTGTCTTGTTATACATTGTGGACAAAAATTATTATTTGATTGTTCTGTTTGAATTTCAATTAAACAACGTAAATGAAAAACATGTCGACAAGCAAATATAATAAATTTATTTTTTTGTTCATATTTTTTTTCAATATCTTGTTGTTGATGAAGTGATTTTTGACAATATGTACATTGATTTAAACGTATTGGTACACTACGATTCATAATTGTACACATTTGTTGTATATCATCATTTAAATCACGTTGTAATAAACGTCTTGTTGTTTCAAGTAAACGTAATTCAAATGAACAATTTTCTAACATTGATTGTATTAATTGTCGTATTTCAAATGTACTACGAGGATTTGTATCCGATCTTTTTCTTACACCTTTTGTTATATCACCAGCATCTGTACCCATAATAAATTCGAGTATAGATGGTAATGTAACATAACCAATCATACTATTTAATATTTCACCATATATACGACGAAATGCACCTGATTGTTCACAATCAAATGAATTTGATGATATTTCTAAAATTTTTTGAAGAAATTTTAACCATAAATCTTCACGTTCTTTTTTATCTTTTAATTTAATTGTTGTACGTTGACAAAAATGAACACAATCTAATGCCATTTGATATAATTGTTCAATTGTTTTCCATTCATACATAGATTCTAATAAAAGATCAAATGTTTCTGTATATTGACCAAGACGTTCAAGTAAATATGCTATTGATGGTATTAATAATGGTGATTGATATTTTCGTATTATATCAAGAACATCTTGTTCACGATAATATTCAGATTTATTTTTAAGAAATGATAATAATTGAGATGGTTCATATCGTGCAAGTATATCAATATAATGTAAATAATGTGATGGATCAATATGAATTATTGTTGATGATGAAGTAGAAGAAGATGAAGATGAAGATTTCGTATCATCTGAATATGTAAAACAACTCTAAGAAAAAAAAAAAAAGACATTATATTGATGATTTTTGTATTATTGAAATATTAGAAAAATTTTATGATATTATTTAGTTTATCAAATATAAGTATTAAATTCTTTAACATACAAGTATATAAATTAATATTGTAAAAGAATTTATTTAATGATTTTATAATTTTCTTTTTCTTGTTAACTTATTTTTAAATTTTTCTGCTACACAATTTTGTATAATAAAATAAATTCCTAGGTAAATGATTCTTTCTCTTTTTAAAACTTTGTTGTTCTATATAAATTTAGGATATTTTCTTCCTTTTCACGAAACAAAATTTTTGTAGCTATTATATAATCTAAAGTAGTATCATTTTGGAATCCAAAAAATTGTCTTTAAATATTAAAAGCTTCAAGAGGAAACCAAGGTGTAAAAACGTCTCTGTTTCTCCAGCCTAATATGTCCGATCGAGCTGAAACATTTTTCACATATACTAAACACTGTTTGAGATTAATAATCTTTTTTTGTTTCAAATAATATTGCTCTGCTGATTTTTAGTAGCTCTTACAAAAAGAAAAACATGCGTTTTTAGGGTATCTTCCATATTTTGGCTTTTGTGAAACATGATCTAAAAGGAGTGTTGAAGTATATTGGGTAGAAATTTGCATCCACAGACATTGACAGATTCCCTTATCATCGACTGTGATAAATATTATTGATATACGATCAAAGACTGTATATCAATAACGTCTCTTTATAATATGTGATCTATTTTCTTATTGCAATTCTGAAGAATTAAGTAAATGGATGGCGGAGAACTGTATCCCAGAACAGATAGAATAAAACAATCTTCCTGTGATTAGTAATAACAGCGATAATGCGTTTTACATTTTAATCTCATAAGAATTACGCTAATAGCTTTTTTTGCTCGAAGGAAAAAAACAAATATAGATACTCATCCCAAACAGTGTCTAGTGCCTGGAAAAATACATTTCAGTTTGATCGAACATAGCATCTCGGAGAAACCGAGAAGCCATTTTTCATGATTTTGATCTAAGTGAAGTATCAGTGTATGACAACTTTTGCTCTACTCGTCAAGATCTACCTGATCTAAAAATTTCAAAATTTTCTGATGAGTTATTCTCAAGAAACCGCGAAAAAACGGTCACGTTTAATGAAAAATTTTGCATAATACGATTAAAATCATTTTCATTTTTTCTTACTTTTAAAATTCCATATTGTGCTGTTTCATTTTTTCCAATTAATTTTAATACTTTTCCTAAATCCATTTGAAAAAAAATACAAAATAATTTAAATGCTTTAAATGAATCTGTTTCAATTATTTGAATAAAATTCTCCATTAGTTTCATATGAAATTTATTACGTTCACGTTCATTAAGTGCTGGCCATAATGTTCTTATATAACGAAATAATTCTAATCGTCGACGTCGATCATTTAAATAACATTCAAGGATAAGATCATATTCATTTGTTTCAGCATAAATTATTTCACAAACACGCCAAAATTGTGCTTGTCTTGCAAGACTAAGTAAACGTTTAAGATCAAATGCTTGTAAACCAGCTGCTTGAATAACATCAAGTAATGCTTGTTCACGTGCATCTTTACTATCATCATTATCATTTAGAGATGTTACAACTGATTTACAAAGATATTCAAGAACCTAACGAAGAAAATAAAAGAAAAAATTAATGCGCGTTTTAAATTGATTTAAATTATTATTATTATTTTTTTTATTTGTTTATGTTTATTTTTTGTAATTAGTAGAAATGCGATTCTTATTAGTATCATTTAAAGATTAAATATAATCTTCTTTTCGAAAAGAATTCTATGGGTTGTTGTCGAAAAGAAAATAAAAAATCAATAAATAAAAATAATCTTACGAAAAAAAATAAAAAACAAAAGAAAAATTTAAAGAATGATGTAAGTTTATTAATAAAAAGAAAAATTTTAAATAAAAGTTTCTATTCATTTATTTTAATTTTATAATAGAAAGAAAAGAAAAAATTAACAATTAAAACAATCAATGAAAATAATCTTCAACAACAATCAATCAAAAGTCTTATTAATAAAAATATAAAATCAGAAATATCTAATTTAGAATATCAAACAAAATCATCATCTATTTCATTGTCAAATAAAATAGATATTGATGATGATTTTATAAATAATATTTCTTCTACAGATAATATTTATTCAATAAAAACATTAAATGATTTACAAACATTTGTTGAACAAAATAAAAAGCCTATATCAATGGTTTTTTTCTATGCTCGTTATTGTCCCTATTCAAAACGAACAATATCTGGTCTTCGTCAATGGGCACGAACAAATAAAGATCGTATTATTTTATATGAAGCTGATGTTGAACAAGCATTAAAATTAGTTGAATATTATCATATTCAAATAATTCCAACTGTTTTAGTATTTAATGAAAATAATCTTTTCATTCCAATTTGGCAACGAACAGCAACAAATGTTTTATCATCTGATTTACAATTACCAATAGATCAATTTCAATTAAATGAAAATAATAAAAATATTTCAAATGATAATAAACAATTTAAAGAAATCTTTCGAGAAAAATTAGATAATTCAAATAATGTTTTTTTTATTTTTGATCCATTACTTCAAGAATCAAATTGTATGTTTAAAATATTTGAAACATTAAATAAAAATAAACAAGAACAATATTTAATTATTCTTGATAATAAACAATCAATGAAAAATAAATCAAAATTAATATTAGCAATAACAAGTAAAACAAATAAATTGACAAAACTAACAAATACCCTATAAAGAATCGATCTCTCAAGATTTTACATATTTCTCAACAACTTTTCATCGTAACGGTAGAATTTTTATGATATACGATCTAAAAGGAATATTGAAGTATAAAGATAGAAATTTGAATCCATTACTCCACAGACCATGACAGACGTTTTTGATATACGATGAAAGATCGTATATCAATAACGTCCAGTTCTGACATATGAAAATGTTTCCTTATTACATTTCTAGAGGATTAAGTAAAAGGACAGTGAAGAAATGTGTCCTAAAATAGATAGAATACAGTAATCTTCCTGTAATTAGTAACCACAGTTACATCGTGTTTCATATTTTAATCATACCGTGATTGTACTAACAGCTTCTTTTTGACAGATTCTCCACAAACTTGCATCTTTCATTTAAATAGAACAGTATATCTTATTTGTTTAGGCTTATGAAATGAATAGGTTGAGAGTACTTTTGTGATCCCATAGAAAAGAATGTTACTTTTTTGAAAAACAAACAATAGGAGTATTTCTTCTAGATTACAGTAGATGACCATATGCGTAAAGTTTTAAAGAATTTGTCCAAATTTCTATCTTATTAATTAACAATAATAGTTAAGTCTTCGATCTTTCGGAAGATTTCATTAGAACTAGTTTTACATTAATAATTGATTGAAGTCTTGTATGATTAAGAACGAAAACTGACAAAATCATTCACAAAGATCGATGCAAAAAACTCGATAAAAACAAAAGATGTATTCTGAATCTATTCGTTTTATTAGATCTAAACAAAATAAGGCATTCTATTCTATTTAAGAGAAAGATGTACATTTGTAGAAAATCGAACGAGAAATCTATTCAAAAGAAAATACTCATGTTATATTGAAAGGCTACTGAATAATATGCAAAATACTGAGAGATCTATTCATTATAGGCCATCCGTTATGATTTAACTTTTCTTTATTGAATAAAACTTTTAGATGAAAAAGATCAAACTGAATTTTTGAAAGCCATTGATCAATGTTTGTTGTCTTGTATTCTCTATTTCACAAAAAAAAAAATCTATTTTCTTCTATTTTCTTAGCTAATTCTGATAATAATTGGAAAACAAAATCAATAACATCATCTCAACAAAGTCCTTATATTTGGAATAGATCAATTCAAAATATAGAAAACGATAGTCAACAATCATCAAAACAATTAACTACTGAAGAAATAAATGAATATAATGGAAGAATAATATCAAAATCTTCAATAAATACAACATTTACTAATGATCAATCAAAAAGTAAATTTCTCTAAGGCAAAAAAAAGAAATTTTTTTTTCTTCTCAATATGACTAATTTAAATAGAAAATGAAATATACAATGAATCTATTGATAATAATATAGAAATAATTCCATTAACATCAGATCAATATCAACAACATATTCATTTATCAAATTCGAATGAAATTTTTTATGAAAAACAATATGATAATATAAATAATTTTAATTATTCATCATCATTTGATCGATTTAGTACATTAACATATCAACATGTTAAAGATACAAATTATTTTTTAAACAATCAACAAGAAGAAATATGTATTTTATATTTAGGTCCAAATCGATATCGAGGTTTTGAAGATAATTTACATAATGAAATTCATTCTTCAAAATTATCACTTTTAACTCTTAAATCACATTCATTATTTGAATAAAATGTATCGAATGAGTTATAAATAGCATTATGATACAAAAACAAAATAAAATATCTATACGATAGTTAATTATTTGATTAGTAGTAGAAGCAATTTTACCTGTTATCAAAATAAGAAAAATTCATATGAAACGTTTTATAGATAATTTTCAATTGTCATCTAAGAGAATAATAAGAAGAAATCAAACACAAACTGTACGAATGATATGAGTATCGTTCAAAAAGTTCCGACATTGATTTTTTTTTATAAATCAAAGCTTACTTATCCAACTTTAAAACGACAAACTTATTCAAAAAATCATAGTGAATGATAGAGCATTATCACTATACTCTACCACCATACGTTCATAAATATTGGATGGGAATTCATTATCCAAATCACAAAAATTTTCTATTAGTGTAAAAAGTATTGCTAAATTTGATTATGAAGCACAAATTTCAGCATTTTAACTGACTAGTTTTGGAAGTTTGTTCTCTATACATCAATTTAATATCATTCATGACAGTTGAAAATGATCTATAAAATGTTACATATGTATTTTTCTTACTTAATAAAATGAGTAAAATTGCTTCCTACCACTAACCAAAAAAAAAAATCAGTCAATTTGAGCGAAACAAAGTGGAAATATTCTATCGTAGTAAATTTTATGATTCATAATATAATTTATAATTACCTGTTCAAATAGCATTCCTTGAACAAATATATGTTGTTGTCCAGCTTTAGCTAATTGTCTTGATAAAAAATTAAATAGAATACTTATTTGATGAGATGAAAATTGTACATCATCAACCATGACACGTAATAATATATCACAAAATGCTCGTCGTTTTATTATATCAATATCATTTAAAAATTCGTCATTATCAAATGCCATTGTTAATAAATTAAAAAAATCTCGAGTATTAAAATGAAGTAATGCTCGTAAATTATTATAAAGTAAACCACCAGTACGACGTGGATGTAAATAAGAAAGAAAATCAACAATTTGATTACGTCCAAAATGTGCCATTTCAGATGAAAGACGACCACCAAATGGATAAATTTCACCAACTAATGTTGTTTGAATAAAAACAAGAGCTTGATTACCGATTACAGTCATTTTTGTACTAAAACCAGTACCTAAATATTTGATATTTAAGATTTTACTTCCGTTTTCTTTTAAATTAAGATCGAGTTTTTCTTATTAAATATGCGAAGAGACTAAAATGAATTCATATTTTGATAACTATTATCAATATGAAGTACTTCATGGAAAGAATATTAAATATCTTTCTTACACTATATATTCACTGCGATTAGAATATCTACTGATGTATGTAAAGATGGATTATTTTTATAATTCTCATCTATGCATTTACACTGAAGAGTAGAGCCCTGTGGTTCCAACTCGTGAAAAGGACAAAAAAAATTGGTTCAAATTCCAGTTTCTAAAAAATGTCTTTGAAATCGATAATTTATTGATAGTATATCAAATAACTAATTAATATTTTTAGAAATTTTTGTCTTTCATTTTTCGAACTTGTTGATATTTATTATTTTATTGAAAAATTAATTTCTTCAAAAGATAAAACAAAAAGAGAAACACTGTAAAAATGGCGTGAGTACGGTTGTTGATGGTTTCTTCCTTCACGCCCACACTCTAAATGACTCTAATTATTAGTAGAAAATTTTCGGTTCGATTCTCAGTTTCATTTTTTAAAGGAAACTGCAACGCTCTACTGAAGAAATAGTTTCTATGGAAAAGCAACATTGGTCGAAAAATTACTGTTTCAAAATGCAAACGTTTTAAAATCTATCGTGTAAAAGCTAATAGTATGCTTTGTAGAGCAAACTAAGCCATTAAAAACTGTTTCGCATTTTGAATTTGATAAGTTTCAATGAAAATACAAAATTGATTAAAATAGTATTCTGTGCAAACACTATTTTCCAAACAATCTAATGACAGTTGCCTAATCTTAGCCCAGAAGGAAATTCTAAACATATATTCGAAAGCGCAAAAACAAAAGTCTGATTCTAACTAACTGTCTTAGGCTCTAGAACCCATCGAGTTCAAAATTTTCGAACCTCCGGAACCAACCCGACAGACTCTATCTGACTTTAATCAGTTGCCTTTAAGTGACTGAAAAATGAGTGAATATTTTGTATGAAGATTTTTGCGCCATAAGTTATTTATAGAATATCTTAAATTTACCATTATGTTGTGCAAAATCATCTTCAAGTTTTTCAATAATTTCTTTTAAAATTGTTGTAAAATCTTTAAAACCTTCACTATATATATGTAATAATGTCATATAAAGTTCATGTTTTCTTGTTATTTGTATAATTTGATCAATATCAAGAGATGATACATCAAGACGATTTAAACATTGTTCTAATTGATACAAATAATTATGATCAATATAATAATTAATAAAATCTTTTAAAACCATTGGTGATATTGAATCAAAACGATTTTTTAATATATAAGGTTCTAAACATTGTAAATAAATTCCATGTGCTATAGAATCTTGTGAAAAAATATCATATATCAGACCAAATAATAAATCCAAACGATCAATTAATAAACAATAATCAATTGAACGTGGTAAAATATTTCGATAATGTTGTTTAAGTAAATCAATATTACCTGATTGTGGACATTCCTGATTAAGTGAAAATTTTAAATAAGCTTGAAGTAATGAAACCATTCGATCGGATATACATTGACGACGTTTTATTGGATCAATTGGTAAACCTTGTGTTTTTTTTTATAGAAAAATAATTGTTTTTTTTTTTTTTTATTTTAAGTTTATTAATCAAATACTTACCAGTTAATCCTTTAGCTTTTCCAACTAACATTGAATAAGCAAGTTCTAATGCTTGATCATATTGATTTTTACCATTTTCAATATAAAAATCAATACGTTCAGACCAATCACGTAAATGTATTTCATAAAGTGTATGTGTACCAAGTAAAAAAATAGAACCTTGATTTGATATTAATGTTTGATAACAAGCATTTTGTCCTGCTAATGCTAATGCTGATGAAACATTACCACCAGTAGCTAATGATTTAAAAAAGATTGTATTATAAATAAGTTCGCAATATGATAAAGATAAACATTCTAATTGTTCTTCTGAACGTTGATCACTATTTAAAAATAAAAATATTATATTAACTTTTTAACTTGTGATGAATCTTTATTTTCATTAGAAGTAGAATTTGATAAGATATGAAAAGATTCAAGTATATAAGATGATGAAAAGATGTTTAACAACAAAGTCTTTTTTTTTCTATAACCAGAGCTGAGTAAAATGCTCGAATTACTTGTAGTTGAATATCAAGCACTCTAAAAGATAAGGGCGTATCAGGTTCTTTGTCTGCTCCCAAAACATTTCGGTCTTTTGTCTTGAAATCCACTCAGTAGTGACCCGTAATATCATTGCAACGATTTATTTCGCAATGTCTCTTTATCAAGTTTTCAACTTACATCCGCATCTCTGGGAAGATGACCATGTTTTTGTTGATTTCGTAGGAGAGGGACAGATGACTCGAAAAATTGATGCAGAAACGTTGCGAAATGAACTTTTGTAAGGTTATCGAATGTCGCCACTGAATTGATTTCAATACAGAGAAAATAGAACATTTTGAGGGCAAAATACGGCCTTATCCGCTCTCGTCTTTTTAGATAAAATGTGTTGTATTAAAATAGTACCAGTGCATATTTCTTTTCTTCGAAGATGAAGGAAATAGTTAATTTCTTTCGCCATCGATTTTATATAAAACTATACTCATGTATATTCGACAATCATGCTGTACCGACGTTGAACAATGTCCCAAAGTAATCTTACTCGAAATTCTGTTCCTCGAGAAAGTCCGTACTTGCTCATCTCTGAGATGAAGTATGATGGCGAAGTTTTTAAAAAACCGGACACGGTAGCTTTCAGATCTCAGAATACTTTGTCGGCACTATTTTTTAACAATACCATTTTACAGACAACAAAATGAAGAGTCGTCGTATTTTCTGCGATCTTTTCTTAAAAAGTTAAAACTGTTAAAAAAAAAACATAAGAAAAACGAAATTTATTAAAAAATTCACTGAAAAACGGCTTTTATGATACATGTAACTTTTTAAGGGAAGGTCGTAGAAAATGCGGCAACTCCTCATTACGTTCTCTTCCAAAATAACAGTGTTAAAAAACAGTCTTCTAGGACTTGAAAATTATCATATCTGGTTTTTTCAGAAATTTTGTCGTCATAGTTCATCTATGAAATCTCGATAAAAGAGAATTCCATTGACTATTAAAATCACTATCTGAATTTGAGCTAATTATTTTATATTATAGACAAAAATTAAAACTATGTTGTTGTTATACACTTTTTTCCATCGTCTTATATTTCATTTCTAAGATTGTAATGATTTTTTGTATGTCGTAGCATATTTGAAGTTGTTTGAAAAAAAATATAATGTTGCTTTGTTAAAAACTAAGATATGTTTTCAGAAGGAATTCTTTGTACAATTCTCATTATTATAAAAAGAAAAGCCTATTAGTTTGATACGTCTACTGATAATACAAAAGAATAAGATGAATTAAAGATTAAACAAAATTTTGAATATTCAATTTCAAATAAATTCTTACATAACATGTGCACGTTCAAACATATCAAATAGTACAAATGTTCTTGCATTTAACCAACAAAATGATTTAATATTATAATCAACAGTAATTTGTTTCAATTGTGTTATATGCACTTCATCATCACGTACATGTTGTATCTATTAATAAATATATGAAAAATTTTTTTTTGTTTTATATTTATAAAAAGAAAGAAAACTACATTACCTGAATAAATGTACATTGTTTATCTCTGACAGCAGCAAGAATTGGATTAATACAATTAATTTTATCACTAACTTTAACAATAATAAATTGCCATTTAAGTATTGGTAATGTTGTATTACTTCCAGCTAAATGTTGTACACGTAAAATTTTAACATTATTTTGTGATTTTAAAGCTA